AATCCTGCACGACCCTAAAACATACTATAGCATAATGATTTCTTTGGCTTTCTACTTGAGTCGTGCAGACTTCGCTCCGTCCACTGTGAACCATCTTGGGGCAAACCCGCCAATGCGGAAGCTACCTGAAATTGGAGCCGAAACGATTTGCGGCTACCTGCAAGAAAAGATGAGGTAGCCAGAAGTCGAGCAGTGCTCATGAACAGTTATGTAGATACGATGATGGCTACTGTGGCAAGCAATGAGATCTGAACACTGAGCCTGAGAGAACGGTGAAAAGGAGACGCGCCAAAACTCGAAAACCTGCAAACCGCAATGCCCCTGCTAATGTGAAGACGGCCTGCGCTCCAGATGCGAACGCCGCTAAGCAGAGTACTGCTGCTTGCTGCAGACTGCCCTGGTAAACCCTGGGCTTGCAGAGCTTCCTCCTTGGCTGGAATTTGCCAATGTTTGGGACTGAGATGGGAAGATGGTAATTTGAGCATCAGATCAGCATCTCAAGCTACTAACTAGGTGTTGCATCGTGAAAGGTGAAAGGTACCCACAAGGCTCTGACAATGTTGAGAACAATCCAGACTGGCCTGGGGATAGTTTGCCCAGTGTTTTCGGTTGTGCTCAGCAGTTTGTTGTTGCCATTTGCTCGGGTGGGTTGGGTGGGCGGGGGGGGTAATAGCAAACATGTTCGAGCAATGTTGCACGTCCTGCACGTCCGCATCTACTGCCGCTGCTCTTGTACTTGCTCCGGCCATGGCACTGCTTTCACATATGTAATCCCCCAAAGGGCCTCTTCCGTTTCAGTTGTCGTTCTTGTCGTGTCTTTCTGCCGCTCTTTCGCATTCTGCTTCCATGCTACTGCTTTCGCAGATATTGTCCCCCTAAGGGGCTCCTACATTTTTCTTTCGAATATTTTCGTTCTTCTCATTGGATGCTCTGCCATATTGATTGTGGCTATCAGCGCGTGCCATGTTGGAGTCGGCCATCGGCGATTTCGCGCAGAAGGCGAAGCGCCGCTCGTTCCCCAGTGCGTAGTGGCGGGATCGCAATGCATCCACGAGTTCTGGCAAGCGCTCGAAAAGCAGGGTCTCTCCTTGCCTCCAAGACTATGTGCACTCGTTCCTCTGGCGACATTCTGCCGGAGGACGCGCTGATGAAACAGTGGCCCCACTTCTTTCTGGGTTCCCAAGGCCCCACAGTTTACTAAATGCTAGCAAGCGCAGAATGTCATTATATTCTAGCCTTCACGTGTCCAAATGCGCCAGCTTTTGAGCGGGTGTGCTTCTTTTCATTACACCATGAACCCCCTGTAATAACTAAAGCTTCGCATAAGCGGCCGAAATAGCCCCAACAGCCCGAAACCCCCAGGCAAACTACATACAAGCGACCACCTGCACCACTTCAGGCTCCGAAGAAGACGAACACCCATGATTGTTGGGTCAGGGTTTTGAGGAGGGTGTAGGGTGGCCCAAGCAAGGAAGAATCCGGACATGAGAAACCACATGTACCTATATCCTTGATCTAAAAACCAGAGACCATGCCAACTGATCCAGGAAGAACCAACGAACCTTGGGGATTATAATTTGCACGGCTGACTCAAGCTTCTCGATTCCCGTACTGCAACGAAATCTATCAGATTCCATGCAAGCTTCGGACACATCAGCGAACGTGTCTGGCTTGTTGTCTTCAAACCGAGTCAGCAACTCCTGGGGTCTGCACGTGAGCTATCAGCAAAATCCCTTAAGGTTGAAATCTTATCTGTGAATTAGACCCTTCGTTTTTGGGGCAATTTTGGATTGTGTTTGTTGAAGTTTTGGCGCCTTCGCATTGTTGGGTTACCCTTCGTTTGACAGGAGTTTTGGCACGAGATCGCCCGGAGACTTCTGCCTGAGGTACAGCATTTTGCCTGTCGCTCACGCATACGTCCATCACCGAAGAATCAGCATACGGCTCCTGAAAACCTGACAAAAGCAATTAGCGGCCATACTAGGGACTCATGACGAAACAAAGCAACATGAATTTCTTACTGAGACAAAGCTTCACCTACAGGCTTCGTATGACGTGATAATTCGGTAAGGCTCTCTTGAAAGGATCCTGCAGTTCCGGTTCGACGCACGAAAGACTCTATGCAGCTGAGAAATCCCCATCTTCCCAGCTGAGGTGTGTTTCAGATGCACTTCCTGAAGTTTCTCAAGGACGAGAAAGGAATCCAAAATAACATTCTCAAGTTTCTACAATACTCCACCCGTTCTAATTTATGCGTCCCTCTCACGTAAACCGTACTCCACGGACAACACACCATAGACCTGTAGCCCTTAAGCCTGAGCCCTGTACGTCACTGCATATATCCGTACATATCCTGCATGTCCCTATACATCCTTCTATCCTTACATCCCCCCCTTCCAGGGGCCCTAAGGCCCTAGGGTCCTGGCGTGCGGACGCCATCTTCTTCTCGGCGGCCTCTACATCTCCAAGGCCGCTGGAGCGAAAGAGCAAATGAGGCTCCGAGCTGCACTTGCGCAAGCCGTTCGCAACCTGGGTTTAGGGCTTTTGGGAGGGGTTAAGGAGTTTAGGTATCTAAGCAGGTTTTGAGTTTGGGGTTGACACACCTGGGTTTCGCGTTTGGAGTGCTACTAACCTGGGGATAGCATTTGGCGTTTGTCTTTCAGGTTTTGGGTTGGGGGACTGTTATTAACACTGAAAGTCTCTCAATCCTCTCTAAAAACCTGATTAAGGAAATCCCCAAAGAAGAACTGGACCTTGGCAAGCACCCACAACGAGTTTGCATAAAACGCAGGAAGGCTGAATGCACTATGTCGCTTTGATGTTTGATGGATAGCATGCCGTGAGGTCCGATGGAATGATGTGAAGAGTTGGTTGCACAGTTGTAGTGAGGTATCGGACGGCTCTGTGACACTGCGGCTCTATTGACCCGATGGCTCCAACTAATTTAATAGGTGTTAAATAAGCACAGGGTAGGGCTGGCGGGAACCGCCGCACCTCTCTAAAATTGCACTGGCGCGTGGAGCATCCTCCGGACTTTGGCCGCGATCGAAAACCCTCTCAGCATTCTCGTTGTGTCGTGATGCTGGAGCGTGGAACGTCCCCCAAATTTCACTTGAAATCGTCAAGACTCTCAGTGTTGGCGGCTTATCGTGACGTTGGCGTGTGGAGCATCCTCCGAATTTGGCTCAGAATCCACAACCATCTCAGTGGATGCAGCTCGTCCGCAAGCTCTTGCATGGAGCGTCCACAGAGATTTGCTCGGGACCGACAACCTTCTCAGTGTTCGCGCAGCATCCGGACGCTCTCGCATGGAGCGTCCATAGAATTTTAGTCAGGATTGGCAACCTTGGCATGTTGGCAGAGCAAAGGTCTTTCCGTGGAGGTGGTTGTCTATAGGATGGCTTCATGCGATTGATGGGATGATATGAATGTTTGCTTGCGCGCATTGCTCCATGCTACGGATGAAGTCTGCGCTCGTTTCTGAGAAGCGTTCTTGGCAATGCCGTCGTGCTCCATCTGAGCCACAGCTGGCGGCGCCTATTTGCGATTGCGCGCTGTGGAGCCGATTAACGTTGCAGCAGCAGTCACAATGAGGCGAGCGTTTGGGAAGTTAAACTCAGATTGTCGTAAAACGTATTCGAAACTATGGTCGCCACAAACTGGGCCTACATTGGAAGTTGCAGGGTGTAAAAGCCTACCATAGTCTGCGATCCAGTCACTCCTTCGTCGTCGGACTCTGGAAACTCAAGGAATGTGTTTATGATCCTCGCCGCAGAAATGTATCGGCAAGCCAGCGGAAAGGACTGCATGGCAGCAACCGAAAAACTGTTGAGCCAACATGTCTGTCGGAGTGCATCCGAATGTGGCTGTGCAAGCCTCAAAAATGCCTGATTAAGCAGGTCGAGCCTGGAAAGCTTGGAAGCACGGCCAATTGAAATCTGCCATGGTCCCAGGGAAGGGTGGCAACACCACAGCTCTGGCAGAATTAGTCTGTATTTGCCAAAAGATACGCCTTTTGTGGAAAAATCTGGAATGGATGTGAAGTCACTGCGACTACACTCTCCACTAAGAATGTGATATTTTTTTTTGGCTCAGCAATTCAGAAACTAAGAAGCCGCGCTTGTACAAACAAGGAACCATTTCAAGCTCTGCGAGCGCAACAGGTCTTCATATACCTGTGCCCACCCACAACTCGCCAAAACTCAACGCGCTTTAAACCACCAGCACCAATCTCGGAATCTACAAGACCTCAACCTGGCTGACCATTCTCCAAAACTACGCTCCCCTAGCCCTCAGGCACATACCAACAACCCTAAAGTCAAGAAGCCCAAAACAGTGAAGCACTCAAGCACAAGAAGCCCTATCCGAAGAACCCCCCCAATTCTCTGCTCTGGTGTACCGAATCCTGCACAGATGGATTTACCTCTCAGATTCTCAGGAACATCACCTCTGACTGATCGTCTCAAAGTTGACTCTACGACTACTGTAATTGCGACTGCGACTGCTACTGCTGCTTCTACTACTGCTGCTGCCGCTACTGCTTGCTGCTACTGCTTGCAGCTACTGCTACTGCTAGAGCTACGCTACTGCTACAACGACGACTACGACACTACGACGACTAAGACTACTACGACTAGTACGACTACGGCGGCTATGACGAGGATGACTACGACTGCCACTAATGCCACTGCTGAACCTAGCCCCGATGAATGATTTGTGCGGACCGTCTTCCAACGCAGCAGGGATTCGTTGGCAAGACCCGTACTTGGGACAAGCAGTAGGCATGGTAGTGGTGGTGCCGGCGACGGCGGTGATCGTGGTGGCCGTGGTGGCCGTGGTGGCCGTGGTGGCAGTGGTGGTCGTGGCGGCGCGGTCCCATTGGGACCCCCCTGCTCACCATAACGCTTATCTCTAATTCCCAAAAGCCCTCAAACTGCAACTCTAATTCCCTGGAACCCTGAAACTCTAAGCCCTAAGTGCTTCTTTCCCCGGGCTCCCACGGGGTAGTCCCGCGCCACGCCGCTTGCCACCAGAAAGGCGAGGCCGAAGCCAGGCCTTTGAGGGCTTAAGATGTGTAAAACTATATAGGCTTTAAGAATATTACCCCCAAAACAGGAGGATCAGAAATGAGTGGAAACTGAGACTATGTAGCGGCTTATAGAAGTTCAGGAATTTTGTTCTTTGTGCTCCTTGACTTTTGTACTAACGCAGTGGAAATCTCGACTAGACAATTCTGAATGGATTTGTCTTGGCACCGGCCCCATAATTGCTGATGCCCAAAGCCTTTTGCATTCTCCGATTCCAAGCCCAGAATAGTACTAGTCAAAAACCGCAGTCCCTTGTGTTTTGCAAGTCAGACAGCACCCTGCCTAAGATCTTCGCCAACGATGATGGCTAGCTGTTGTTACTGTTTTCGACATCATGGCTTTGTCATGATTGCGGCGGTTCCGTGACCGTGCGTATTCTGACGGGTGTGGTTTGGTATAATTGTGACTGAGACTGCCGCTGCCATTCCTCCTCCTACTTCCACGATTGGTGCCTTTAACGAAGGCCACCTTAACGAAGGCCACCAATAGCACCGTGAAAAACCTTTCACATCGGTATCTTCGAATATGCTTGCATGAGAATAATCTTCAAAAAGTCTCGCCTCACAAACCGTGCGAACAGCATACGCCAACTTGGCTAACCCAAATCCGTAGTACCGCTGATGCGTGTTTGCTATGGGTGGCTTCGACCATTATTGCCATCTTAAGTCCATGAGCCGAATCTCCAAGACCACCCAGAAATCCTGATCCCGGAGCGCATTAACCTTTTAAACCTTCTTATTAAAAGGCTGTGCTCCCAACTGACGGTTGAAGATCAGCGTCCCTATGCGCTGAAACTCCTCCCACTGACTTGGACAGCGCAATAGGTGAGGGAGGGTTATTCTGGTGGGAATTTTGAGAGCCCCTATAGCAAGGTAATTTGAAATGTGTTCACTTCCCAATTTAAGGCAATTTTGGTACTATTCCTAAATAAACCACCATGTAGGGTGAGGTCGGGTGAGGTCGCTTCAAATTGCCCAGTTATAAGCCTTGTCACAGTGCTCTACTTCACATCATCTTCTGCAAAATCTGGCCTTCGCTCAAAGCTGAGATCATCTGGTTGTTCACAACTTCATTCATGGTAAGGAAAGCAAGCCAGACATTCTTATGCGGTTTGAGGGTTTGGGCTTAGGGTTTCGGGTCACAAACCAGCGCCTAAAGCTGGGGTCAACTGACGATGCCAGAGGGCAGGGTGGATGCACGATGCGCGCAGGAGGCTGTTGCTTAGAGATCCTCGTGCCCAAGCGTTAGAATGACCTTGAACATCCAAAATTCCACATAAAGCTAGGTTGTGGCATCTGCTCCGATACCACTTCAATTGGAGGAAACAGAGACCCGTTAGCCAGTGCAAGCCCCAAGCCCCAGACATCAAGCCCAGCTCTTCCGCTCTGTGTTGCGTTAGTGGGAGGCAGGCACGGCTCCTTCTTGAACTGCTGAGATCTGATGACCGGCTGCCGAGGGACGAAGAAGGGCTCATATTGAAGCCGGCTGCCAACGATGTCCTCAGGGCTGTCAGGGTTGAACAAGCATGAATGAGGATGCGGGCCTTTCATGTGTCGTGCTTCTGGCTGACGTATCATCGTTTGCGAGCTAGCTTCGCGCAAGCACGCAATAGACGCGAGGGCCTGTTGTTGGCACGAAGGTTTGCATGCGGCCGCCCCAGACACCGCAGAATGCCAGCACCATCGTTCGCAGATAATTTCATTTTGCAACGAATAACCAACACGAACACAAACACGTCGACACCACCTGAGGACAAGATATCGTGCCACAATGTGCCACATGACGCCGGACTCAACTCGCGACAGCATGCGAAGACTTGACAGAAAACATCGAAGCAAGGCGCCGCGTTTAGCTACGAATGAAGAAATGACATGAGGACACAACACGAAACCACACAATGCGCCACCCGAGACGTCACATCACGCAAGACGAGGATCGCTAAGGCTGACTGCCGCAATTGGATCTTATGGATCACGCAAGAAAAGCTAGTAGGAATGCGAAACGTCCTGCACCATCCCTGCGTTCGTTGGCTCTTCAGGAACACGAGAAGGATTCGAGCGCTCATGTGCAACAACCAAGACAGGGATTCGACACTTTGATGTGAATGTCCAACAGCAAGCCGAGTATTGGTAGTGTTAACATGAGAAAGTCCAAACGTCCATGCAATGACAAATACTATGATCGTCACGACCCTCGTAACCACTGTAACTGTTGGCACTTGAGACACGCGGAGATTGGCAAATCACAGAGGCAAGTCACATCCAGCGGGGCCACGCGAGCGTTTGCTGTAGGCTTGCACAGAAATTTGCAGGCGCGAACTGACCGACGTCACATCTGCTGGTTGACCCCCAAGATCCCTTTGCTTCGGTTGCAGGAAAAAAAAAAACAGAACATATAAACTCTAACTTCCTGGCACATAGAAATTCACTTCATAGCCCTGGACTTTTCATGTGTGAGCTCTGGCCACCCCCACGTTCCCAGCAATACCCTGTATGCCAGGCCCTAAGTACATACATCATGTCCTCAACTCAGAAGTGCTCAGCCCCGCAACCTACACCACAAGCTCTAAACCCGACACCTTAGAACAAGTATCCCAAACCTTCAACACTCAGAGCACCTCGTTCTGGTGCGCATCCAACGGGAAATCCCATGGCTGCGCAGCATTCTGCTGCCTGGCACACTTGGGATAGGACCCGGGTTTAGCGGTTGCTGGGCTTTCCCAACCAAAACCCGTGGGGGAAGGTTCATGGCAACGTAAGCAGCTTGTTCGGGATGAGGCGACAGCATCCTCTGGGGTGTGCTCAAGGAGCATCAGGAATGCCAAGAACCCTACACATCCTGCAAACCTGATACAATCCTACAATCCCTGCACACTCCCCATGAACCCTAGAAGGGCTAGGGTAACTTCAGTCATACCCAAAAGCAAAGGGAATCCTTGTTGTACGGGCCCTACAGCCAACCTCTAGCCTTGACACATGTGACATACATATTGGACAACCTGTAAAAGGTGAACATGACCTGCATTCCTTGGACAAATGGAGTTTTTCCGGGCTTCCATCAATCAAACCCAACACATTCCAATAGGTTACCCCTCTGATGACCCTGTGAAGCCCTGAAAGCCTTGAAGTCCCTTACCTACCTCTACTCTAAGCTCTAGGCGCCAAAAAACTTCCAATCAGCCGCTGTTTTGCAAGAAGCTCTCTAATCTCCGCCGGCTTGACTGGTGGAGCTCGTAAGAGCGGATGGCCTTCGCAACGGTAAAAGCCCAATGAGCTGAGAATAAGGTTTAAGGGCTCCCTCCAAGTCCTCAAACGCAAGAGCCACAAAAACACGGTTTCTTGGGCCTCATAACCCAACATTCAAAAACTCGCAAATCCAAAGGCCCAAGATCATTTTTCAGTTTAGACGGCACCAGCGTTAGTTACTGTCAACCATACTGTTACTCCTATCCACGGTGTCAAACACGCTCTCATCTTCTGTGCTACAGTGGAAAAGTTCTGTCTTGGTTGTTCTAAATCTGAAGCCGGACACTGTGAGAACGTGGAGAACAGCATTATCATGACGGCACCAGGAAATAGAACTAAACGCTCGTCCAGGTACGTGCATATGCTTTACGAGCGAATCATCTATCCCAACAGCTGTCTTTCTGCCAATGCCCGAGTTCAGTGAGCAGCGAAAGTCCGATATCTTTCGACTTGGTAGTCGGTCGCGTCGCAGCCCGTCACTGATGCGGCAAGCCTGGCCGCGGACTACGAAGCGCCACGAAGCGCTGAAGGTCGGTTCCTCGGCGCCTTGGGCATCAGGCGCCGGCTGTGGCGGATTTCGCTGGCCTGTGAGATCTCGCGTAGCCTCTGCAGTTTTGCGCCAGCACCCTGTCGTTTGGGGGGTGGGGTGGTACCAGGCCAGTCCCAATTTGTGCCCTCCAACCCCCCCTTCTCAGCTGGAGATGCTCCTGCCACGCTCGAGGGGTCAGTCCTAGGGACCACTAACAGATCTGATCCTCTTCTTCTTGCGCACGATAGAAGTCACGTCAGCGTCATTACAGCAGCCCAAATTGAGAATTGCTCTGATCTGCGTATCAGCCTGAGCTATCGTACTGTCCATGCTAGCAACCGTACTGCTACTATCGCGTTGGCTCCCACTGATGTTGGGAAAGCGAGCGGGGAGCCTTGCAGCCATGTTGGCTGTGGTCATTGGGGCTAAGGGGTTCATGCTGTTAGCTGAAGTCAATGTCTGCCTACTGCAGGTGTCTAACTAGCCACTAGTAGGCTTCGTGCGGAATTACGGACAGTGATGTTTGGGGAACTCTCGGGCGATTCTTAGTAATTATTCAACATCCTACTTTGGCTTTTCTGGGTATGGTTGCTTCGGCTACCGTGATGCTACTGATATCACTATCATTATCACAGCTCCTCGTACGTCCCATTGTCCGCGCAGAGCTCCGAGGGCACCTCAAGGCCGTGGCTGGAATGTATACCCTAAACTTCAGATGCTAAGCCCTCAACCCAAAACCTTAAACCCTGTATGCTCAAAGTCATGGACCCTTCTCATGGACCCATGGGCTCAGGCCAGTGGGTCCAGTCTTCTGGGGTTCAGTTTGGGCATCTGACTGTTGGCGCATTCACTTCAAAGTTGACGATTTCGCGGCGTTGCATCGGGCTCTTGACTCGTGATTCCATATTGCCCAACCCATCAGACACCGGCAAAGTAAACCTCTCAAGACTTTCGCCGGTGAGGGACCTCAATTGCAAGATCCAAAAGCAGTCTTCAAACCCCAACTCCCACAAAAGCAATTTTTCTCAAGAAACAGGTCTGACGAAATGCAGGCTCCGCCAACCTTGATGCTCGGTCTGTGTCACAAATCACACGGACCAGATTGTACTAAGATAGCAGCCGGGCCATCGTTCACTCTGCACTGATGTAGACTCGCATACTGAAACGCCTCAAATCCGAACCCTGAAAGCAAGGGATGAAAGCTCCAAAGCTCCGTATCAAGACTGTCCAAATCCTTGAAACCCTTCAGAACCCTGCAAGGTGGGCCGGTGGCTGAAAAGCAAGTAGATCAATCATGGGGATACTTGGATGCAGCACTGCAGGAACAAAAGCATTCTGATTGCGTTTTTCTTTTGAGGCTGTAAGAGCTCGGGAGACCACCTGGCCCTTGCTATTCCTGTGGTTCAGCTTGGCACCGGCCTAGGTGGAGCTCTGAAAGGTTGCGGTGTGTAGTTGGTGTGGCCCTCTGGCCCATGGGAAATTACGGCCATGAACAAAGATGATGGGATGGCCTGGGGTCCAAAGCATTTGGGCTTTGGGCTTGCGTTACACCTTTTGACCAGGGACGCAGGCTTGTGAAGTAGCTGGCTTTTTCGAGGTCACTTCATGGGGTCTACATTATGCTTGGCAAGCTTGACTTATTTTGGGATTGAGACTCCGGGAATTGCATTTTCACAAGTTTATTTCCATGGTTACAAAGGGGGAGACACACTGCCTTTCCATCGCAGTTCAGCAACAAGTAAGAATGAGCCCTGAAAGTGCAAGAGCGCTTCTCTTTTTCTCAGAAAGATCGCATGATATGCAGCAAGCCGCTCTTCACGAGTATGGTTGTTGCAAAACAGCTTCTGCTGTGAATCCTCAGATCATGCGTCCTTGAACACAATGGCAAGTCTTCATTGCCGACCAAATGTGATGGCGTAGTGGAAGCATTGGTCAGGATCACTTTTCGCATTTGTCGCTCCAAAGTTCCACTCTTGAAGTCGAATCTTGTACAACTCAGCCTCAATCTCGCGCTACCCGAAACAAAGCCGGAACGTCCCTGAAAAAATCCGCACGGCTTCTTCTACTCGCGGCCAGAAATCCCTAAACAAGAAGCCGCTGACCCTGCGCCATGGATCCCGCCTGAAGAAGCCGAATTACCACTTCACGCCGACCGACGTGGACCTTTTGGCGGGCTTGCCAGGCACGAATCCGAAGGATGCATTAAAACAAAATGTCGTTCTACCTAGCGCCGAGCTACCTTCCAAGGAGCACAGTCTTTGAGATTTTGGGGTCTTGCATCCAAGGTTGGATGCTTGCGGATGTTTTGTTCCCTCGCACAGGGGCGTCTGCAAAACAATGCTGTTTGAAAACCCTCAAAAGATCTTCCAGATTGGCAGGCATCCTCTCAAATCATACAATTGTAAGCACAGAACTCAGGCAAACTTCCTTCACAAGATTGCATGATGCCAGGGGTGTGGCCGCGATGTGCAACGGCGTCCAACCCGCCATATCCACAGCCTGTGGTAAGTGTGGGTTTGGGGATCCAGGCTTCAAGTTCCTGGCAGGCAGAAAACACCGTAATCGAAAGAATGTACGAAATACACAACACAACAATATGCAAGGATGTCTGAGACCACCCGTCTGTGTCTTGATCCGATACTCAATGGCAGATCTGGCCCACCTCCAGTAGTTGCCTGTGCTCCATCATTTCCTGTGCTCACAGACGTTGACAGGAAACTGAAGCAGCAGAACACCACGCTCTTGGGATGCCGCCTGGTAAAAATAGCACAAAAAA